TACTTACTACTACTATTTTACTTCGTCATGTTCTACCACTGTCTATATCAGGACAGTGCATATGAACCAGCGGTGTAAGTGTATGAAATGCCAGAATAAGTCAAGAGGTTCGTTTCTACTTCTATTTTCATTTTGCCGGACGTACAAGGAAGAGGGAAGTAGTAAGAGTGCCTTCTTGAAACGCCATTGTAAATAGTATCAGAAAGAAAGAAAGTATTGCACAAACAACACATACCTGACTCATACATCAATCAACACAAAGCAAAAGTCAGTGCCAATAATAGTAGAACACCCAGATACTCAAATATTGCTACTGACTGGAAGTTTTGTTTCCTGATTACAGTGATGCAATGACCAGAAGAGAACGTACAAACAGATGGATGGCAATCAAATAAAAATATATCATGCAATGTAATAATATAATGTTGTCTCTATGTATAGATTTTAGATTTAATCCTGTAGCAAACACATTAAAGCTTCTGGAAGTGTAAGAAAGGAAACTGAAATTATGGAAAATCTAACGTTGCATAGGCAGATATAGGTAATTTGAACGAAATATCTGAAAAGCAAAACCTGACTGTACGCAGGTTGACCTCATTTACTTATACAAAAAGTGTAGTTGGTTTGGGCCCTTCAGGTATCTACGCGAACCATTGAAGTAACTAAACTCCCTTTAGACCGAAACTGCTACTCAAAACACAGAGTTTTCCTGAATGGGACGGCTGTAAACAGACATGTCTGTGTAGTGACAACTCAAAGAATCCGCTGCTCATGTTTACATATCTTCAAACCAGACTTTATATATTTTCATGTATTAGTAAGGCATGAACAACAAATACAAATGCCTGACTAAAGTAAACTGCATCAAATAAGCTAAAACTTTTTTTGCAATGCCATCAAATTGTAGCCTGGTTCATCAGACAGTTTCCTCACAGTGTTAGAATTTGTTCGCTCAACATCAGGCGGTTACTTTTTGTCATTTAACCAATCGCTGCTATTTGGTCGTGACATATGTAATGCGTCGCTAATGAAGCTAACTGGTATATTAAGCTTTTCCCAAATCCCGTAGGAAGAAGGGCAATAACGTCTTTCCCCTTGATAAATTTCACCAAACATTCTGAATGTATGGCTCTTCACTGATTGGCTGGTGCCTGAACTTGCACTTCTGGGGTTTTCTGCGAACCGTCTACTGCAGGCATGTCCAAACTATGGCCCAGGAGCTAAATGCGGCCCTCAGACAAATTTTTCTTGGCCCTCAGGCTTCCAGGTGAATTGGCACAAATTATCTTGCATCAATTAAAAAGTAATTTTTTACTGCAAGTTTTTTGAAAATCTACCTTGATAAAGATACTATTTAATATTTTGTGTGTCGCTTTAAGGATCTTAGCATGAATAAAGACTGATGACTCATTCTAACGTGTTAAACATGCACATATTGCAGTTATTCCCTGTACTGAGCATCAGTCTACGGCCCTCAATTGGCCCGCTGCTTCGTCTGTGTTTAGATATGTGGCCCTTGATGAAAAAAGTTTGGACACCCTTGGTCTACTGTATTATGATTCCTGACCTAGTTGCTGGCGAGAAATTTAATTGAGCAGAGGCACTAGGTGGCGCCAGCCTGGCTAATCAAAATGTACTGTATACAATAATTAAAGGGCCCATATTACGCCACAGTTTCATTGTAATCATTTAGATGATTTCAGCCCCAGTCAGTCTCTATTGAACAAAAGGTAAAAGGGAGTTGTTCACTTGAAAACTACGGCTTCATGACATCACAAGGTGGAGCAGAACATTTTGAGCTTCAGAAACATGTGTGAATGAAATAAAACACAATTCCTGGTATGTTTTTGATGAGGTGACAACATTCTAACACGGCTTAAAGCTCAAAAGAGTCAATTTTGTGTAATACAGGACCTTTAAGTCAATCCATTTTAGGTTCCTGATCTATATTTCTTATAGTTACTTACAGGCTCTTGGATATTAATGAGTGAGCAGAGAGTGAATAAAAGTAATTATGTAAATTTCACAACGCAAGAATGCTCTGTCCTCAAACAACCTTTCAAGTCAGGTAGAATATGCACGCAAGTTTATCAAATGACTCTTGATATGTGTCTCCAACTTTGGTCCCAAAACTGATAACATCACTCTGATTACTTCTTTCCACTGTCTTCGGTTGTACAAGCAGCATTTTACTCACTTTTTTGACCTGCAGTGACTTTTATTACTGTAGTAGTGTATTTAAATATTTAACTAGATTGAATGCAAATTAGTTATCAAGACATATTACTTTTTCTCTTAAATGCCTGACAAGCCTTTAATGCTACCAATAATTTCATATTCTGAGGGTTTAAAATTGGAAAAATTGAAAAAAATGGCTCATATTACGCTATTATCTAATGTTGTTTCTTCATTAAAACATATCTGGAGTTATGTTTTGTTTCATTCACGTATGTTTAACACATATTTGTTTTCTGTTTGAGAGAAGAACTCAGTCCATTCATATGGTAACACAAGTGCTGTACTGTGTTTTTAAATTCCATAGACCTTCACTAGAATCATTTGGGTGATTTCAGGCCTGGAACTGCCAATCGCTACTGAACAAAATGTAAAAAGTAGAGAGAAAAGTTGAAAACTACCACTTCATGACATCACAAGGTGAAACAGAGCATCTTGAGTTTTGCAGATGTAGACAGACTAAAAATTGCAGGATTACCCAAATGTGTGAATCAAACAAAACACAACTCCAGGTATATTTTTGATGAGGTAACAGCATTCTAAAATGACTTAAAGCTCACAATAATCAATTTTGTATAATGTAGGACCTTTAATATCAATAATTTCTTCATGCTGGCTGCTCTAAAACAGTACAAAATCTCACGGTTTATGTAGTTCCCTCAGTTTTTTGTTACCACTATAGCATTAGGGTTCACAATAGTATACATAAGATAACAGTATCTTGCATATTACGTGGTCTCACACTTCTGTTATAGATTAGACGATTCTAAAAACCATCCAGGAAAGGTCCAGCTTTGTCCAATTTAAATTAATTTCAGTGCCAAAAGCTGCTAAAAGTAAATATGTAGTATAGATTCTTTTGACAACCGTAGTAATAGTAGTGTAGTAGTACAGCTGATTCTAGTAATACACGTATTATACTATGACAAGTTTATCTCTTTAACGATAACATCACCATGACTGCTTCTTAACATTAGCTCATACAATCGTGCGTTTCATTCACATTCATGCTTCTGCCCTCCTTGCACTAACTTTTATTGAAACCCCCCATTGTACAGCCTCCCCATGTCAGCTTCAGTGTCAGCCCGGGTCAGTGCCCTTTGCCTGGGCTCGGGCTGTGAGTGCGCTGGCCCTCCTGGAGCTCGGGTCCCGCACAGAGGGGCTAGTGTACTACCTACCCTCCCACCCTTCTCTCCTCCCTCTCCTCTCTCCCCTCTACCACTATTACCACCATAGGATCGGCCAATGCATCCCTTGGTTGGTTCAGTTTCAATACCGAGCACAAAACACTAGTGTCTGGTTACCCCCAAAACAACCGTACTGCATCCTGGAGCCTTTTGTTCCCGCTTTAAATAAAACATTGCCGTGTCATTAGGTAAAAAGGCCCTCCTCTGAATAATTTAGACGAGAAAATAATTTGCGAAAGGTGAATGGGGTTAGGCAAAGACATTATAAACAATGTAAGCTTCAATGTGAGACACAACTAACCTGAAAAGTGTAAACTAACTCAAGATTAAACAACTATTGACATAAAACACCACTAACTGACCAAGCAGTAACCTGTTTACCCAAAACGTTAACCTAAAAATACTTATGGCATATGGGTATAGCTGGAAGTTTCTCTCTATGTAAAAAGAAAATAATTTAAACAGGCAGTAGGACTCTAGTTGACTACAAAAATCCTGGTTGATTGATGAGTAGACTAGAAGGGGGCGTGGCAAACGTTTTCACAACTATTCAATATCTCTATAATCTGAACGTATATATGACCAAAACTACACTCACGAGGCTACAACTACACAACTACTTACACAATAAAGTACTGAAAATGTGTACTTATATGAAAAAATGAAACTCAACTTTCACATTTTCAGACAACGCACTACATACCTTGTTGTGGTGTATTATTGTGTCTTAAAATCAAAATAAATTTGTGAACTAATACATTTTTTGGTCAACTAAGATACTATTGAACTACAGCTCTACTACTAGTCAGCAATCAACTATGTAAAGAAAATCTAAAATATCAAGACAGCATTTGCAGTTAATAAAAGTGTAGTCATGAATTAATTGTACACCAATTAGCCTACTAATGCACTTTTCCTGAAACTAGTTCAAACTACAGAAAGCAAACACAACCAGCGTAAGTAATGTTATTTACAAAGCAACCATTAGAAAAGGCATTAACCAAACGCATTAGTCTAGCTTGCTTATGACACAGTAACTAGTAACTGCTTAAGAATAAAGCCTTTATAATTATTACTTCTAAGACAGTAAGCCAGCAACCAAACAGAAAATTAATGTAGTACCTTCAGAAAATGTGGTTTAACAGTACCACCAAACACAAAAAACAGTATTTTTTTATTTGTTTTGTTTTGTTTTAAGCCTCTCTTTCTTAGCACTTTTTTGTGACCATTAAGCATATGTTTGTCTAACACTAACACTACTTTAAAACCATGCTTTAGGTTGCCCAATATTGTAACTTTTTTCACGAGTTAAATACATTTTACGCAGACAAGTTCGTTTACGACGCATTGATTTTACGCACGAACAACTTGAACGATTATGTTTTACCGCCGTTTTAGACAAGAGAAAACTAGCACCAACTTTGATCCACTTGGCTTTTTATCATTAGTAGTAAACACAGAGTAATAAAAAACACAACTGGCCTACTTCATTGTTTGACCGTGTTATGACAGCTGACAATCGAAACTGCCCATGCGTCCAAATGCACCTGCTCCTATCCCGTTTCGTTATTAGCCTACCTGTTGCTTTTTCCGTCTTTTTCACGCGTTCAGCACGTTGTCCCACGTTTTTCCCAACTGTGTCTTCCACCTAAATAAAAGAAAAGTCTCAAAAAACAAAAGAAATTTCACTTGTTGTTGAGTAGACGGAGATGGGCTCTGGTAAAGCCGTGGAGACGCCGCTTTCTTCTCGCTTTCACCCACACGGATCTTACCTTCTCACAGCCCCAGAAAGCAACAGAAGCGGGTGAAAGGTAATAGGAGACAAAGGGAGCGAATCCGAGCGCGCAGGAGGCGGACTCGGGAGAAAATTAGCACCTCTGATTGGATTATGGTGATAAATGGCGGAAACGGGGATTTCTATGGAAACTTAATGGATTTTGAACTGTTTTTGTTACCAAACTGCTTGTGTGCATGCCGCCAGTATTCATCATCCATCTTTTTCATTTGAACAGACGGAAGGTATTTAATTTCCCATACTCATAGTTAGGTGGTTTCCTTGAAAACTTCCCTGAATTCCTTAGAACAACAGAAAGAGAGGTAAAATAGTCCATAGAAATATTAATGATTCTTGATTTTGAGTTGCTAAAATTGAATATTAGGCAATCTTTTCGTTTATGGTTTTGTTTCATTCACTTCACACATGTTTAAGTAATTCTTTATTATTAGTCTGTTTTCATCTCCAAAGCTCAAAATGCTTTGTTCCACCTTCTGATGTCATTTAGTGGTAGTTTTAAGTTAACAGCTATTACTTTTTGGTTTGGTTCAGTAGAGATGGGCAATTCCAAGCCTGAAATTGAAATCCAAATGATTCTAGTGAAGGTGTAGTGAGTTTAAAAACACATGTATTACCATATGACATCACAAGGTGGGACAGTGCGTTCTCTATTTGGGAGAAGATCTCTGCAGAAATATGCAGGATGTGTGTAATAAATGTGTAAATGAAACAAAACACAACTCCAGGTCTGTTTGTGATGAGGAAACATTATAACATAGATCAGAAAATAACGTAATATAGGTTCATAACTCATTGATTTGTTTTGATTTTTTAATTATATTGGTTATACGTCCAACAGAATGACTTTTATGTGACATGAATCTAAAAGCAATTTGCAGTGCTCCTACCAAACAGCAAGAAACTGGAATGCATAATAATAACAGAATATTAGCTGAATGCAAACCAACATGCATACTTTTTGTTACACTGGTTATTATTATTATTATTATTATTATTATTATTATTATTATTATTATTATTATTATTATTATTATTATTATTTATTTTAATTTAATAGTATGCCTAAATGACTTGTTGTGACTTGTTGGCTGTCATTATATTTTAAAATTATGGAAAAATAGTCTTTTTTGTTTCCATCAGAGTGCTACCAGGGCTGTGGAGAACCGTACAGGATGGGTAAGCCTTCCTCTTAAGCTCAAGCGGTCACAGGTTCAATTCTTTTCTAAGATCTTTCCTGCTCGGTTAAAAGTTCAAGTGTCCAGGATTTGTTTGTTGCTCTTTCCTAGTCGCCCACTGTTCCTGGATGTTTTTTTTTTTTACACATGTCTCTACAAGGTTTCTAAGTTCATGTTCACACAAAGAGTAGGAAAGCTGCGCAATACACGACTATAGCTCATATTATTTAAAAAAGTAAGAGGCAATTTTCAAGGTTATAGTTGTGACATGCATCTTACTGGTTTAAAATCATATTCATATGATATTACCAAAACCTCTTTTGTCATATTTATAGAGAGCCTGTTTAGCTCTGAAATAAATTGTTCAAAATTACAGGAAGTTAGGAGCCAAGTTCTACAAAGGAATGCCTCTTATGTCATAATCAGTACGCAGAATTTTATCAAAATCCCAGGGACAATATGCTGACAGTTTAAACTTTCATTTAGGAAAATAAAGGTAGTGTCATATCTTTTTATTTGTCAAATAATAACTTGCGTGCAAATCAAATAAGCTTTGACTGTTGTTTACAGTGTGGTTCTTTAGTAGAATTTAACTTCATGTATGTCACATTGAAATAAAAATTAGGCCAGATCCTTAAAGGTTCTATATTACACAAAAGTGACTCTGGTCAGCTTTTATAATGTTATAATGCTGTTTTCTCATCAAAACACATCCCTGATTTGGGGTGTGAAAAAATGCTGAAATACTGATATATTGTATCGTTTAATGTAAGTAAGTAAATAAATGGTCACATTTTCTATAGCGCTTTTCCACCTTCAAGGCACTCAAAGCACTTTACAACAAGGAACCACTCACCCATTCACACACAGCTGGAATCACACCAGCCAACCTGTGGGTCAGTAGATCTGACCGCTCAACCTGAGATGTTTTATGTCGAGAGCTGGATTCAAACCACCAACCTTCAGATCAGTGGGCGAATGCTCTACCAACTGAGCTACTGCCGCCCAGATAGATAAGTAAATCTTTATTTATATAGCACTTTTCACAGACATATGTCACAAAAACGCTTTATAGAGCATTATTCCCTCAATACCTGGTGATGGTAAGCTGCTATTGTAGCCACAGCTGCCCTGGGGCAGACTGATGGAAGTGTGGCTGCCATCCCAATTGGCACCATCGGGCCCCCCGACCACCACCATCACTCATGCACACACCACTTTCATACTAGGCAATGTGGGTGAAGTGCCTTGCCTAAAGACACAATGACAGTTTTTTGTGACAGGCGCCCCCCTGTGGCACTTTTGATTTTCCCAACGGTCTCCCATCCAAGTACCAGCCAGGCCTGGCCTTGTTCAGCTTCTGAGATCTGATAGGATCAGGCTTTGACAATCCGGTATGGCTAAGACCAATGTGATGATACTGTACATATCGTGGGCTGCTGTGTCGATATATTATTATTATTGTGTTGTTGTTTTGTTTTTGTTTTTTTTGGGGGGGGGTTTGTATATTTTACTCAATTATTCTGTTACAACACTACAGTTTTGTTGCTTGTTCAGAAGAAGGAAACTTGTTTATGCAATGCATTTGACATTTTCACTGTTTTGATTATTAAAATGTTTGTGTTTCATATTAACTTTGCATAAAAAGTAGTTTAACAAAGACTTTTAGTATCACAGTCATGATTTTGCCATTATTTTTTATTGAACCATATCGAATTGTTTTGAAATATATCGTATTGAATCAAAAGTGCACTGTATCGTATCATGGCCTATGTATCGAGGTATGTACGTTTTGTTTCATTCACATGTTTGAGCAATCCTTTATTATTAGTCTGTCTACATTTCCAAAGCTTTAAATGCTCTATTCCACCTCGTGATGTCATGAAGTTCAGAAGAACCATTCAAATGATTCCGGTGAAAGTGTGCGGAGTTTAAGCACTTCCTGTATTACCACATGACGTCACAAGAGTGTTTTCAGTTTACAAGAGAAGAACAATAGCATAATGTGACAATAGCATAACATAGATCAGAAAATGTAATGTAAATGTAGTGTAATATGGGCACTTTAATTACATAAACTACCTTTAAAAGTACACAAATAGTCACAGTATATTAAAGAAACAAAGAGTCAATATAATCCATATATATTTTATTCTCAATACGGCAAAATACAAAGAATATTCAGGACAGACTCTCATTAGTCACATAATACTCACTTCACAAGAATGCTTTAAATTACATCACCTAAGTTCGAGTACCTTTAGTCTCATATTGCATCCATTTGATAGAATAGCATCTCTCTATGTTCAGATCTCGTAAAACTAATCCAATTTCAGACTACTATTGTACATGATAGTGTGTGCTGCTGGCCCGGAGTACAAATGCTACAGCTTTTTCCATGTGTAGAGAAATACTTTCAAAAAACATCTTGGACCAATTGTTCAAAAAGGGACACTGTAAAATACAACTTCTCTTGACGCAATACATTACATCCCCATGATGAGATTAACAATATACATTTCATGAACACCTCCATATCAAATACAGAGAAGAAAATATTTGTTGCATCTAGAGACGTTGGTTTGAGGTGACCGTGATACCGAGGGAGAGAGACAAAACATACAAGCACAAGAGACTAAAATTAACTGATATACAGTTAGCAGACGTACAATAGAGTCTGTAACGATTGGAAGAAGAAACACAGAGGCCCGGAAAAAAGGGAAAATGTGCATAAAGTATCTCACAAAATGTATTTACAGCGTTTGTCAATTTAATAAAAAGGTCACCTGTAGAAATTGCCCTTAAAGAAAATGTTATATATTTACATTTTATACATCGTTTTAAATAGAAACATGCACACGTGTTAAGCTCCTTCTACTGAATGTCAAAACTTACCCTGGATTCAAACAAGTTAATATTAATTACTACTTTACAAAGAAATCTCAATCTCAGCGTGATCATTAGCCCCAAAACATTTACAATTTCTTAAAATGGCGACTCGAGTGGTTCTCAAAGTGTGGGGCAAGTACAGCTCATAGTACGCTAAATACACTTGGGGATTCAGTCTTTGAGACTTCTTAAGGATCAAATAGGTTATGAAAATAAAGGCAGCTATCAATGAATAATGTGGGAAGATAAGAATATTTTAGGTTATTTGAAATAGAAAAAAACCCCACATTCTTATCCTGTAGGAATATGCAAGTTTTGTGTTTAATATCAGACTAAACCAACAAGTTCAACAAATCCATCTAAGCCTTTGTGTCCACGGAGCTCCACAGTGACCCCTCATCCCCTGCTTCCGGAAGTAAACGTCTCATTCAAGAAGAATATTAAAAATTTGAAATCTCTTTCAGGGCTAATCAGCTATGTGGTAACTAATGAGCAAAAGACTTATTACTTTATTTAAAATGTTTCTGAAAAGCTATAAACCGCTAGTTATTACATTATTAAAGCATTTAGCCAAATCTTGCATTTTAAATGCACTTTTTGGACTTAAAACAACTAAGTTATGGATATTAGTTAGCATGTAGCTGGTTAGCACATGTGATGCCTTTGAATTCTCAATAATTACATTTTCTAAAAGTCTATGGGGAAAATGAATGGAAAATCTACTTACAGAACCTAAGGGGGCAGTCACTGTTGAGCTCCATATGTAGTCATTTTTAACTAATAAAATAAACTGTATCTTCCCACAATATTCACATTTATTGTCATGCACTTATTGTATTTTTTCTGTGTCTGGGCCTAATCATTTTACTATAGTCAGCTATAGTAAATATTTAAAACAGCCAAATTGGCTGATACAGCAGAATGCAATCACTACCATTCAATATGAACTATAAAATTTCTTTAAGGCCTAAACTTTGGTGCTTTGCTTAACTGTACAATGGAGGGTATACTTGACAAGTTTGAGAACCACTGAGCCACCTTCAAAAGGCCATTCTGAAAAATCACGACGCAAAAGGGGCAAAAATAAATACGTACGTCGCAAAAAGTTAAAATACTAATGCTAGATTTGTACATTTGACTATTCGATAGTGTAGGCTGTAATTACAAAGTGTACCAGTGTATGAAGACAGTGACTGAGCAAACAATGAGAAAGTGGCCTCCAGCTTAAAGTCGAAAAAGGCTCCATTTGGCCATTTCCGTTTGGTTATAAAACTATATACATATTTACTATATACTAAACCAGTACACAAAGTTGCAAAAGCTAAAGGCATTGGACAGTTTAAACAGGCTTCTCACGGAAACAAAACAGATCTTTGTAAAAAATCCTGCATAGATTAAAATAATACCTCTTTTTGGGTTAAAGAGGGCATAACAGTATCCCCTCCCACAGTAAAGGCCGGGAGCCAGTCGAGGAAAACTCAAACTTGGACGACTAAAAAATGTGGTAGTATTATTGTGGTAACTTTGCTGTGAATGTTTCTGTATATGAAAAAGTTAAGTCCTTTATTTAATGTTTATTATATGTCGTGGGTTTTTATTAGCTATTACCATATGTACTTGGCCACTCAGTAATGCTGGATTTGTTTACAGAAGACACTTGGGATGGAGAAGTTTTGCGTTTTCAAAATAAAATTAAATGATATACAACGTTTCTTTTGTAACCAGAATTTGCATTAATTTAGTTTTATTTTGAAAAATCTAAAGTGGGTGTTAACCTAATTTGCATGTAATAAATTCAATGTTTAAATAATTTTGAAAAAAATAAAAATAATAATACATTTTCTTTCAGATAAGGACATTTCAGGTGATTTTCAGTTTTGCTTTCCCACATCAGCTAAGCCCCAATGAAAACTATGCAAATGTAATGTAAATAACTGCATTGGATGACAATACTTTATTCCTTCCTGCTGTGCCTTACAAAAATACACTGCAGAGAAAATTAACAAAAGATCAAATAGTACTGTAAGGAAGTGGCTTATGCTGTAGGAACAATGCAAATGTATAAGCAGTTCAAAGAAAAGACTGAAATACCAGAGCTTCAAATTTGTGAGATAATAAAATTGTAGCAGACTAGCAGCCCCTACAGGCCGAGTTGGGTCTTGCACCCCATAAAAAACTAAACTCTAAAACAATACAATATTTTTAGTGGTTAAAAAGCTCATAATCTGTAAACTAAATCATGATCTTTTAATTTGAATAAAGATTTGATAAATATTTATGTGCATGTTAGCCATTCCTAAGTTCTAAAAATGCTAAAGGAATTTCAAATATAATAAAACTTTAAGACTGGGTCAATAAAATTAAACTGCACTTAAAAACATAATTGTTGCCAGTTTTCATTGACTGTCGAGATTTAATATGCAAAAAGAGCAAAAAAATAATTAAATAATATAGCTGTTTGATGATTGGTTTTCCTGTAGCTCTAAGAAGGCACAGAAATGATAAGAGAAACCTTCATTTAAAGCACCTTTGGCGTTCGTGGGAGGTACTTTGGTGAAAGAAAAGTTAAAAGCCAAAAAAGCGCCGTTTTAGTGTTGTCATAATAAATAATTCAATTTCCAATTTTTTCCCAAAGTCTTAATGCCAGACAGATGGAACATGGGTTGAGGTACTTGATGATATATTCAAAGTCTCCCTGTGTGGTGCTAGAAGGTGTGAGAAAAAGAATCCAAAAGTTGCTCAGTTTTGGCAAAGCTGGTGAAGCGAAATGACACAGTGCTGGAGATATGTTTTTGGAGAAGGAAAGACTCGAGAAAAAGAGTCTACAGTACTGAATTATATGCTTCTGTTGTGAGATAGAGTTAAGACCATATGAGTTCATACCATGGCTTTAGACAACAATGAATAATTGGCAAAACGGAATTTATATATTTGGTTCCAAGGAATACCAATATAAAAATAAATATGCTTCATTGTTGAAAATATTTGATTTGGACACAGTTTTAAGTTAAATCTGCATTATGTAACATTTCTGGTGAAAGATCTGCCACTAGCTTGTCTCCATGAAGATGGTCTTACTTTGACTGGAATGTTCCGGAGAATGGCAGTAAACTAGAGGTTTTTATTTTCAGCAATAAAAACACAAATAGCCTTTGAAGGGACTAATAAAGGTTTCTGACTCTGATTCAATCTGTAATTGAACACATTTATTTAATTTACAGAAGTATAGTTATACTGTGGAACATTGCAACATTTCCCTGAAGACGAGCAGGTTGCGAATCACTAAACCAGAAAATATACCTTACAGATAATTAAATATCTTAACCACTCCTCTTGTGTCATTTCTAAGCAGAACAAAATAAGTAATGAATTCACTTTGAAATGCAGCCTGGGTATGAACACGCTGGACTTAACAGTCTCACGGTTAGTGCGTGAGATATGGTGCTTGGTTGTGCAGTGGACTGACGGGTGGTGGGCGTGTGGGTGGTGATCTGAGGACGCGGCGTAAAGTCCGTTTTTAGGGAATGAGTTTGGCATCGAGCCGTAGCCAGTGCAGCCCCTGTCGCGTGTAGCGCACCAGTTCGGTCATGCTGCTGGTGTTGAAGATCAGAGGACCCATCACTTTGTCCAGCTCAAAGAAGAACTCTGAGGAGAACAGAGAGAGAGACAGAGACAGAGAGAGAGAGGGGGGCTCATTCAGATGGAATCCACTCTTCCTTAAAGTCCCTAAGCTATGCAATTAACTGAAAATACAAGGTTATTCCTGAGAGTGTGCTCATTTTTGACATGGCAAAATTATTAGATCAGCAGTGATGTAAATCTACCCCCAAGGCATCTGTGGCTATACTAGGATAACTATGGATAAATCATGCATACAATTATAAGTTTTTGAGCATGGGAAAACTCTTCATCTTGCATTACTGCTAGGGATGTAACAGTAACAGAAATATAGTAATACTGTATCGTCAAAAGTCTCACAATAATATCGTGAGCTCTCACAATATATCAAATTACAACTTCCTTTGCGTAAATGCATGGTTTTATAGTAGCAACATCTTATAAACATAGAGAACTACATATCCCATGATTCATTTCAGTGCAGTCAACATGCCCTCACTAATCCACATAAACTTCATACACACATATAACTCCTGCTTTATGTTTTTCTTACATCTTTATAAATAAAAGCAATTCTTCAAACCTTTCTGCTCCTTGGAGAGTTGTTCAGCCTGGTCCCAAACCTCGGTGGCATACAGGAAGTTGGATGTGACTTGAACGTAGCTCGCTGCCATCTGGTGGATCCTTTGGGGAATGGTAACGGAGGAGCTGCCGCTGCTGCTGCTCACAGACGAGTTCCCGCTGGCCGTACTGCCGGGGGAGACGGGGGAAGGCATGCCCGCTTTACTGTGAGGGAAAGGAGAGAGGGGGCTTAGTATGAGTGCAGTACGAGTAAGATGTAGTGCTTAAAAGTGAATAAAGCCAGAGAGAGAACAGATAAAATCAAAATTACAATTTAGCTACGCATTTAGCCAATGACAAAAACAAAAGATAATTTAATTTCCACTGAAAACAACTCAAGCGGACCCATTATATGCAAAATCGACTTTTTAGGGCTTTTAACCACGTTGTAGTAGCAGACTTGTTCCTTTTATAAAGTTGCTTTAGATGAATTTGTAACATTTTGGTCCACAGGTGTCAAAGATGTTAAGTATATAGTAGACACAAGCAGAATAAGCCTATTTAACTCCTACAAGTGTAAACCCTGTAGTTTACGCCTCTACAAACATGTTTTGAAAGGACTGTTGTATGTTTTTTGCAGTTCATGTTTCAATGTTCCATCAAAATGTTATGCTAAACTGATAATATTTTCAGTGGGATATTGTTCAACCTATTAGGATTTATTTTATTTCAGGAAATACAGAAGTGGAATGAGTAAAATCAAAAACTAAACTAAAAGATAATGATAGCAGCCCCTAGTGGCCATGCTGAGTTTCGCACAATACCACTACTGTAGACACTATGGTTGATCAGTTCCATTGAAGGTTGCATTTTTGTATTGAATTCAAGTTCAGTTCAGGTACTGATACAAACATAAATTACTTTATACTTCATAAAAAGTAAAATGAGTGCACAAAGACGAGTATTTCAAGGAATGACTTACCTCCCCATTCCAGGAGAGGGTGCCTGGGTGTTACTCAATGAGTTCTGTCAAAAGAGCAATAAACCAAATGGTTACAAAAAGATAAAACTCTGCATTCCTCGGGCAGACACTTCATAAATCTGTTTCATTTCTACTGTGTTTTACAAAGGCGATTACCTTTAAGTGTTCTGTGAGTGTTTTGGAGTATTTGAGTGCACTGTCTTTTCTTAGTTTGAACAACCGAAGGTACAGGAGAGACTGGCATCTAAGGCTGTAGACACAAAAAGGAAATAAATATGAAGATCAAACAGTAATATGCATTGTTTTACTTATCCTCCAAAACAGCTTTTCTTTTATCAGACCCAATTTCAGTCATTTTAGATAGTCTATTCAATCTAGTATACACAAACATTTTCACTGATCATCATTTTGACATGTTGAATATGTTAGAGCTCACATTACAATCATATTAAAATCACAGTTAAAATAATTGCAAAAACTAAGTAGCAAACACTGCAATATTTTTAGACACTAAAAGTAAAAAAACTAAAAAATATTCTGCATTTCTATGGAAAGAATTGCTAACCCTGCAGTTTGAACCTCACCAATGTTTGGGACTCCTGTATTTAGCAAATTAAAGAAGTGGACAAAGGGTGCAGTTATGGGAATTTGGAGCTGAGTTCCATGTTAGGAATAGGAATTGATTTATGGAAAAATATCAAAATAAACACATCAGGATCATCTAAAGCAGGTTAATACAAACATTTTAAGACCAAAAATGACGACCAAAATGACAAGCCTGACAACAGCAGTTATGAGGCTCCGTTTTTTTTTTTAATACAGTGAATTGGAGCCAAATTTGATGGAGCCGGAAGTGCCACTGTGCTCACTTCCTATTTGGAAAGGGTCCACTTAGATATACACAGTTTATGATTTAGCAGTTCAAACTTCTTTCCTAAATATCTTTCAAATGTGACACAAATTGCAATTCCAGAACAATAAAAAACAACTTAATCTATTTGGTTGATGTATGCGTATATTCACCAAAGCACGGCTAGCCTCTTGTCTGCGGAAGTCGCATCTGGAGCCATGTAGCTTTTTAACTTCATAGTATATCTGCAGATGGAAAGGAGAAGTCAAGATTATTCACGGAAAAGGGCCGAGGGACATAACAGGTGTTGTAATAGCCAAGTTTTGCTGTGGCTGTAAAATGTGCCCGTACTTGATCAGCTCCACCGTCTCTGCATACATGGGGAACGGGGATTTGGCCTCTTGTGCACTTTTCTCCAACGCATTTCCACATTCAATAAAAGACACCACTGCGTCCAAGTAATACACCGCCTTCTCAAATCGGTCCAGCTAGAGAAAAACATCGAAAATGAATAAACTCATAGGGCAAGCGTTTGCACTAGTGTTGTTATAAGACTAACATTTCAAACTCGATTTTGATACTATGAAATTTTCTCAATACAGATTATGATACCACAGTGAAGATTTAGTAACAGAATTTAGTAACATTGTGAGACATGTCCTGCTCAAATTATTATTATGATATTTAGTTTCGATAATAATTTTAGGATGAATTAGTATTTAATTTTTGATACTTTTGACAACCCTAGTTTACACGGAAACCTCATAGAAACAATATTATATAGAGCTATGTGTGAATCATATTGAGTTTATTTCATATGTGACTGAATGGTTCTTACCAGTGCATCTGCGTTATGTTTGAGTTTCTTGGCTTCTTGTAAGTAGTGATCAGCAGAATGTACCCTTGGGAAAAAAAAAAAAAAAAGTTTAAGTTCATACAAAGCTGCCTTGTGGTGAAAAATGTGTAAGTTTAATTACAATACGGAACTACATGAAGGATTGTTTGGCTGAAAGTGATCTAGTTATCGTAGCAAGCTGAGGCTAACCATTGAAACCTGAGATTCAAACGAGTTTCTGTGGTGGTTTGGACTATACAACCCGCCGGGGCTGAAATGAGAGAACACTGCAGGTGTGGCTCAGCACGAAGATATACAAATCATAATTTTTCCTCATGGGGTTAAAAAGCAATGCTCTGTAGTAAGGGCTTGCATGTTTTCATAGTAAGAGATCTACATTATATAATATTGATTCTTGTGAGTTTTAAGCCAGTTGTAACTGTGTTACCATCCCAAAACATGCCCAGAGTTGTCTTTGTTTCTTTCAAATGTTTGAATTACTCTTAATTATTAGTCCGCCTACATCTCCAAAGTTCAAAATACTCTGTTCCACCTTGTTGTGTAATGAAGCAGTAGTTAACAGTTAACAGCTACCTTTCACCTTAAGTTCAGAAGGATTTGTGTGTTTAACATGTGTGAATGAAACAAAGCACAACTCCAGGGTTTTTATGAGGAAATATAATATAGATCAGAAAATGGCATCTGTGACAGTAGAATTCATTATGTTGTTCTGTAAAACTTGTATGTCTTCAACACAATATGTATAAGACTCCCTCTTTTGTTAACACATCTCTAATATTTTAGTTGTTTATTCTTAGATAATCTTAGTCAATTCCATAATTTAAGATTAAGTTATTTATCTGACACAAACTAAACACGTCTTCACCAGCACCCTATAACAACTTCAAATTCTATGCTTCTGAAATGCTACTTCAGGTCTGGAAAAGCCTGTGCATGAAAGATAAGCCCTTGAGAGTTTTCTGTTTGGGACGTAAGGGATGCCTCTTACCTGTCTTCGAACACGAGCTTGGAGCGCTGGTTTTTGGAGCCGTCGGTGGAGAGCGGGGGCACAGCCAGCTGGTTATCGCTGCTGCCTTTGGAGGATTTGTCCTGCAGAGACGGAGAGCGAGAGGGACAGAGTTTTAGGGGAAGAAGGGGCCTAGTCTCTGAAGTGACAGATCAAACCAGGGAGGAGACAGAGGAGTCTGGAGGGAGAGATCATTTTGTGCTGGATAGATAGAGTCAACACACATAGGCATCTTTTACTGCTGGCTTGGAATATGCCAACTTGTTTTTAACAGTATGCTGAAAATACATTTTAAATTAATGCCTAAAAACTACACCTTAATTAGCCCTGATAAAGCATAAACCAACTGTTTACTGAAGAATGATTCTGGTTTAATAACTTAATTATTAGCCTAAACCTGACTTTTAACACCTTAATTAAGTGGTTACTTGAAATGTTCTTACTGCCCGTTTCTCAAGACAAATGACATATGACACAACTGTCCAATGAAAAACTAAATGTACAGATGCTAAACGTAAGTAAACATTACCACACCATCCTCAAAGCATGTACACGTCACATTAGGAGAACATTTCTAATTTCAAATCTCGGCTCAAAAGTCTACCAGCATTTTGCTAGTGTACACATACCACCCTGATCCTAATGCATTTGTCCTAACCTTGCCGTCCCGTGTGCTGCGCCCTTTGACCTCTCCTTTATGGTGTTTGGAGGCAGAGCTGGTCTTGTTGCCATGGCTACCCTCTTTGCCGCTGCCCGTGCCGCTGGAGAGGGATGTGGAGGACTGACTGGCGGTCCTCTTTCGACTCGGCTGCTCGGCTTTGGGCGTCCGCTGCAGCCCGGACAGAGACGGGGAAGGGACGGGCTCCTCCTTCTTTTCCAGGGGTCTCCGGGAGCTGGCGGGTCAAGCAATGAGAGGGGAGCAAATATTAGAAAAGACATCAATCTGATGCTATGTCGATTGCTCTATTGACAGAATGAAATCAAGATGAAATTACTATAGCTATGTGCAGATTTTCAACATGTCCTGCTAATCGACTAAAAAAGGGGCATGGCAAAAGCTCTCAAAACCATCACGCATCTCTTATGTATCTGACCCAAACTGCAATCAAAAGACTATACTAACATGAGCATTAAAAATAACCAAGAAACAATGTTTTTAGCTAACTCACTCACTCACTGCTTCCTTTTACTGTTGTTCCATATAATCCTTATAATCTAAACATAATTAATCGACTAAGCTCAGCCAATTAATTGACTAAAGGACCTATACATACAGCCCAAGTATGTATAGGTCTCCATCAAAGATATTTATGTCTTGTCATTTACTTGGGTGGAATCTAAGTGTTAATTTCAGACCAACATTCTGCTATAGGTTAATTTCTGACATACATCTGCGTCTTTTATTTATGTATTTATTGCTTTTATCCATTTTATTTTTTTAGTACTGCTTTTATGTATTGATTTTATTATTTTTGTTCATTGCTTTTATTATTATTATTTTATTTATTGCTTCTATTAGTTTTCTCATGGTTGAAACATAATTCTGGTGATTTTTTTTTTTTTAAGTAAAATGTTTTACATTGTTATGTGAAGCACTTTGGAAATTTTTTTTATAAAATGTGCTATACAAATAAAGCTGGATTGGACTGGATACTTGGTCAAACATTATCAACTTTTCATAATGCTAAACACAAATAATTTGGTTCTTGGGGTGAACTAGTGGAGTACAAATGTTAATATTGTAAAATAGTTGTAAGAATATAACTTATTCGTAGGCAAGGCAAGGCAAGGCAAGTTTATTTGTATAGCACAATTTGTACACAAAGTAATTCAAAGTGCTTTACAGAATTAGAAATACATTAAAATCATAATAAAAACAAATCAAAATCGTACACCATGTTCTGTGATTAGTTACTCTTAAACTTGCTTCTAGTGATACTGGGGAAAAAAAACCCAATCAATGAAAGTGTTCAGGTGTGAAACATAAGTCTGATTATACTTACTCTTCACTGTTGCTCTTATGATGAGATGGAGGCTTGTCATCCGGTTTTCGTCTTTTACTGACTGGTTTAGTGCCATCTTCATCAGTCTAAAATTCAAAACAAAAAGTCAATTCAATTTCTATTTATTTCGAACAGACTTTTTTGCCATTTTATTTAATGATTTCAGTACCTTGTGTTTCCTTTTGCCTTTGCTGGAGCTCTTCTCAGAGTTGTGCCGGCTGGTGTCTTTAGTGTCTCGTTCTACGCAATCGTCCCTCTCAACTTTGATGTCCGCAGGCGGTCGTCCTGGGATCCGCGACAGCAAACTCAAGTCTGAAATGATCAAAGAAGAACAAACACACATTTGTGTCAGGTTTTTGTATTTTAGTGGTTCTTACTGTGGTTTTAAGATGTTTAGTCATTGGTAAATCTTAAGATATGTTCCATTATTAATCAACCAGCAATACAAAAACTTCTTTTGCACACATAAATATATTCTGGAGAGGGCTAGGACAAGAGATTTGATTCTCGTCGAGAGAATGGAAACAAAACCACAATTTTGTTATCATTTATAACAGCTCCAGTATTAATAATTTACAAACAATGTTTTCATCAAAATAAATAAATAAAATGTTTTCTGTCAAATGAAACCTAGATTTGTTGCAGACTGGGGGCCGTTTCAACAGTGTTATTTATTGGAACAAAGAAAAACACTCTCCAAGCATCATTTTCGGGCATAACAACTTGATATTAACAACAGAAAATAAAAATGCAATGTAGTTACAGACACGTCTGAAGCCTTTTCCTATATTTGATCTTTTTTAGAAAAACTTATATCATGTATAAATAATTCTACCCAGAGCAAACTGCATCTTTTTTGTAAATTACACATTGACCTTTTTGTGATTTGTGTAATTTAGTGGACTTCATGTGTTGATGTTGATAAAATATACTGACCTATCTTGACTAGTAGGACTTGCTGCTGGGATGTCCTGGATGGGTAGCGTTCCTCCGGGTCACTGAGGGGCGACAGCAGTTCCTTGTCCTCCATCGGGGAGAACACACAGACTGGAGTCCTGATACTTTCTGAGTATTTGGGCGTTTGGGATGAAGACGGGATGCTCTCATTTTCCTCCGAGTCAGATGAGGAAGAGTTCCGTGGCTTTTTCACCGGCGCTTTAGGTTTGGGTTTTTTGTCCGCTGTTATTGTTGTGAGCGGTCGAGGCGATGGTTTCAGCTCCTTTTTGAGGCTTGGTTTTCGGGAGCCTTTGGTCGGTGCTTTAGGCCGTTGTGAGACCTCTGGAGCAGGCTCACTCTCCACTCTTACACTTCCCCTGGGCTCCTCCACCACAGGGAGCTTCTCTGACTTTTTGGGCTGTTTCTTTCCCGTAATTTTTCGACTGTTTGTCCCAACTGTGAAAATGAGAGAAATATTTTATTGTTCTGAAGAAGAATACAAAGTTTCAAGAACAGATAGGAGCAGCATTGCAATAAATAAATTCAGTCTTTCTTGTTATTGTAACATTTGCAAATATATTATCAACAATGTGGCATTCCACCTTATAGTAACATTTTATTAACATACATTTTGTAACCACAGCATTCTAACAGACAGAAATGAGATGCAATTAAAAATGTCACAAGCCATGGTTTATGTTAATTTAGTTATTTTATGGCGCACCAACATTTCTGGTTATACTAGGGATGGGCATGATTAATCGATTAATCGATAATTGATCATTAAGAATTTCATCGATTACGTTAATTTTACTCGACAAACCGAATGTAGGTTGCTGTGCGTAGCGTGACCAAACAGGGGTCTGTACATGTGTCTCTCTGCACTCAGAAGGAGCGAGACACAAACAGTCGGTCAGCCTGCAACGTACTGAAGCACAAATGTGTATTTAACGATGATTTGTACAAGAAAATCCACGCTTTCCGTTGTGTTCGAGACAAGTGTGAGTCCATGTGCACAGTGTACAAAGCAGGAACATATGTTTCAGTGTCCAGTGGGAAAAAGTTTTACCAGGTCAGAGTAGCTCAATGTCGATGACGAGTCCCCACCTCCCACCCCCCGTACGGTGTCCTGGTTTTGACAAACGCAAATATGGTCACACTAACCTGTATTCCACTGAGTCATGTCTTTTAATCCGACAGAAATTGAACCGCATCGCCGCACAAGAGCTGTAGTTTTATCTTCGCTTAGTTTATGCAAATTAGCAATGCGGTTTTAAGTTTCGTTTCTGTGAGAGTTGCGCAAAACTGAATTAAACACATTATAATGTCAAACGGATTGATGTGGCTCTAGAGTCGTTACGGTTTATATGTCGTAAAGTTGAATTTATTTATGCAGATTAGTAGTGCAGATAGTAATAATACTGATGATCATTTTAATATAAAAACGATAATGATTAATCGATAATCGATCGTTAATTCTTCCGACGATCGATTAAGAAAATTTCATCGAATGCCCATCCCTAATTGTAACATTTGCAAATATATTATCAACAATGTGGCATTCTACCTTATAGTAACATTTTATTAACATACATTTTGTAACCACAGCATTCTAACAGACAGAAATGAGATGCAATTAAAAATGTCACAAGCCATGGTTTATGTTAATTTAATTATTTTATGGTGCACCAACATTTCTGGTTATACATATCATGGCAAATGTTTCTATGTAGACAAGGTGTTAGAGCAGAAAAATCACATAGAGGACCTTTATCTCCTCTATATTCAATTTGGCTTTGATGATGACATGACTTAAAATAGATGTTCTTGCTTTTGTATGTTTTTTCAAATTAAGGACTAAATTAAGTTTGCATCCAGTCAATTTGGCACAGAAGGTGAATGGAACATAAAGTTCCAAAAAGAAATAATAAAGCAATATAATAAATCAATCTTCTAAGAATATGGTACCAATGACAAATTTGGGTGGACGTTAGAATGACCGTATCTGTACCTTCGCTCTGACCTGGTGACTTCTGCCTCCCTCTGCCCCCCTCGGCTCCTTTCTGTGGAGCCCGGGACTCCCTGCTGGGTGTGGGGGCGGAGGAGTCTTTGGAGCTGCCCCCCTGGTTGCTGTGGCTCCGTCCTGAGCTGTTGTCCCGTCCCTCCTTCTTGGATTTGGTGGGAGCATTATTATTGTCCACAGGGGAGGCTGGAGAGCACTGCTTGGTCTTCTTGAACCAGTTGTCAAGCTGCCACTTGTTTGCTCCTTGTTGTTCAGGCTGAAGGAAAGTAAGTAAACATATAAGTTTTGTTGAAGAGCGCTGTTCACAGCTGCTAAAAATAGATTGGGACATCTCGTGACAAAGCGTTATGGGATACCCCTTAGACACTCTAGACAAACAAGCTAAAGCAGAGCCAGTTATTACTCAAAATTGACTTGTGAGCTTTAGGCCATGTTAGAATGTTGTCACCTCCTCAAAAACAGACCCGGAGCTGTATTTTGTTTAGTTCAGTGGGCACAGAAAATTCCAGAGCCTAAATGATTCAAGTGAAGGTGTATGGAGTATAAAAACCACATGACATCACAAGATGGAACAGAGTGTATTCAATTTAAGAGAAAAACTAAACAAAAACATGTGTGAATGAAACAAAACAAAACTCCAGGTATGTTTTTGATGAGGAAACATTAGAACATAGATCAGAAAATGGTGTAATATGAGCACTTTAATTTTTGTGCACAATTTACGAAGTGTTTGAATGCAGAGTACGTGCGATTTGTTTGTCTAAGGTTGTGAAATCAGGGGTGAAGTGGGTTATTGCTAAACCAGACAGGAAATTTATAGTTAGAACTGAAATCATTCACATTTTTTAAAATTACATTATTGGGCAATTTCAGGTTCAATGATGTGCTATTGTCTCCCTTTCAGGTGGGGTTAGAAGTAAGTAGGCATGTATCTATGTATTTTTATAAATAAATGAAGAAAACCCACAAGTTCTGAAAGTGATTGTGCTTGTGGTCATATATTTAATTTTTCAGGGTTATGCCAAATAGTAGGGTTGAAGCTAACAACGATTTTAGCAGTCAACCAGTCCAGTCAGCAGTGATTTTGTTTAGTTTGCAATCTTTGTTATGAAACATCTTTTTGCATGTGTTTTATAGTCTGTTTAGTTCAGATGACAATAATTCAGTTTAAGAGTTAATCAAAGTGAAATGTGAGTGTGTGAGGGAGTGTGTGAGTGTTTATGTATGTTTGTGATATTTAGATTTTTGATTCTCTTGACACATTCACTGTATTCATTCCTTTTTCCGACAATCTGACTACTTTTAGTAAACAGTTTAAACATTAATAAAACACAGCATTATACATTGTACATGTGTTACAAAAGAAAACAAGAATAATAATATATGTAAACAAATAGATAAGTTGTGTTCCTTGTACCTCGGGTGATGCAGGCCGTGGTTGCTCATTGGCTTCACTGTCGCTACTGCTGCTCTCGCTCTCACTGTCTGAACCAGAGCTGCTCTCGGACCCACTGTGGCTGCTCGAGTCGTCCCTCAACTGCTCCGCCACTTCACTGTTATTACTGGAAAAAAAAAGGGTTTGTGTGTTATTCAACAGACGAGACAATATTATGATGAGGCAACAACATTCTAACATGTCTTAAACTCACAAGAGTAAATTTTGCGTCATATAGAACCTTTAAAGAAATATTCACAAAAGTCATATCAGAGGAGAGGTATTTTGTAACCAGGCTGGCACCACCTACTGTCTCTGCTTAATTTGATTTCTCTCCAGCAACTAGGTCAGGAATCGGAATACACTAGAACACACATGTCAGACTCAGGCCAAATTTGTTTTTCAGTTGTGAGCTGTGAAGCCATGACATCAAACTCAAGTGCCTGTCTGAGATGGATGTAGACGAAGCCATACATTCTGTGTTGGCAACGATTCCCAAGATTGAGGATTTAAAGCTGGAACAAAGAGAATGTTTGGTCAATTTTATCCCGTGGAAAGATGTTATTGCCCTTCTTCCTACAGGATTTGGCGCATTACATACTTCACGACCAAACAGCAGCGATTGCTTAAACAAAAAAAGCGAGCAATCGAATCCTAATGCTGCAAGACGATTTCCAAGAAGGGAAACAGGCTACTGAATCAGGTCAGATATTTTGTCCTTACAGAGTTAAGAATTAAGTACTGTGCCAGTTGTTTCATGGGGATTCGCTCAGTGTTTTGGCCACACTAACTTACAAATGCATTTGGCTGCAGAACCTAAAAAACTAGTTACAGGCAAGTTTAACAAAAACTTAATACGTTTACCTTGTATTTCTTGAGGCATTTTTCCCAGACTCTTCCGCATCGCTGTCCTCACTGCTGCTAAGTTTGAGGTCCTCTTCCAACGGCCTAAAACATAAAAATATCATACACTGACTCTTAATGGTATGTAGTATTAATGATTCAAATGGAAGGGCTCATTTGTCTACTAGTCTAGATTCCACTCTACATATTCTAAGAATGATTTGAATCTGCTTTGAAAAACAAATGGCTAAACAAACTAGAGATTAACAGTATGTGCACATCAACTGACAAGAGCAAACCAAGCCTGGGTATAATTTGAAGCAAGGAGAATGGAAATTAAGCGCAAACTAATATTCAATCATTTTACATATGTTTTTTCAAAGCATATTCAAATAAAGGGGTTATAGAGATCTGATGACGCATCTGCACGTTTGCATGGTTAAGATCATACAAGGACAAAGGACTTACGTGGGTTGGTCTTCACAAGCTTTGGACTGATGGCTGCTGGAGCTTTTTGAGGAACGTTCTGAAATTGAACACATAATAAGTGATTCAATGCAACTTTCTATTTGTTTAATTTAATTTAATTAAGAGGTGTACTTACTATGACCGCTGGGGAATGGGTGAGAGTCCTAAATGCAAATGAAAAAACATAATTAATGTAACAATCTTATATTTCTTTGTCCTTTTTTTTTTTTCTTTTATCAGCCAAAATCCCATTTTAAATTTAGAATTGGCTCTGTGTACAATAAAAGCTAGAAATAGCAGTGTAGTTTCTGTTTAGTTACAGAGCAAGACACTAGGTTCTGGTCACATTGCATTCATATGGCCTCAATACTGTAGTGTCATTTGTGCATTTTTACCCACGCCAATACCTGCTCAAATTAGTTATCTAGTTCCCATACTAGTTTTAGTATGGACTGTTCTCTGGATAACTATTTTTGACAACCTTAAAATATGAGATTATGAGGCTCAGAGCTCTGATCCTACAGTTTTTCACGTGTTGTCAAAGATTATCCACAGATGTAATAAAATATAGTTTTACCAAGAAAAACTCTACAAAAGTCAGAATTCATGGAAACTGATGGAAATGAGGCACCCTGAACTCAAGTAAACCCAGTCTAATTTGACATGGTCGTGTAAAGAGGCAGTTGCCTTGGGGCTGTAACTACAATCCAGTTCACACATTTACAAACAAAACCATTCTCTTGAACTGCCTTATTATGGTGTTCCAGTAACACTGATACTACTGACCTTAGTGGGGAAAGGAAACTTTGAAGGCTCAGTTTTGCAGGGCGTGTGGATGGCCGTCAGTGGAGGAGGCCACGACTGAGTCATTTCCTGGAAAAAATGAAATGCAGACGGATTTAAATTAACATTGTGGAAACACACCTGACACACAACAACTAATATCTGTAGGCAGTAATGTACCTTCAGAATCTCATCCACACAGTTGGGGTCACTGGAGCCCTAAACAACAAAAAAATATATAGATTCTTATACTCCAAGCAAAAATAAGAACTACAGAGGATTTCTTTCTGAACATATCTATGTTTTCTGAAGATTTGGTATTTTTCAGTGTTTACATGTTAAAAGGCAGATTAAATTAATGGTTTACAAGTTTCATCTGCCTTTATACAGTTTATACAGCTACAGCTCATATCTTATCATATACTAATAAAAAAATGTTCCAGTAGTACAAAGAAAAAGTACTCATGATAAATACTGACCAAAAAATTTTGTTACATCTATCTATGTATTGAAAGATAAGTCGATATAGTAATTATTGTGACAGGCTTATGCCACTATTTAAAGGTGCATTGTATTACTTTTCTGGTGGAGAGTCCGTCAAAAGCTTTTCTCCGTGGATATGTTATTGATTTGTCTGGAATGTTTCACAGTATGGTATTAAAACCAGACCAAGTTACAGGTCAGATCTATGGAGAGGCAACTCTGCTCACAGTCAGAATACCTGTTTTTCTAGGTATAAATGAAAGTTAAAGCTGTTTAATGTCATATTGTGGAACATTCCAGGCAGTGCAATGACATATCCACCGAGAAAAGGTGGTGACGGATCCCTAACCAAACAATTATACAGTGCAACTTTAACATCCATCATAAATAAGCCTATATTGTTAGTATACGCACCCGTACCTCCATGGGCTGTGATGGGATTTTGAGTTTGGAGAGGGAGGCCTTCCCGTTGGACTTCATCTCCCCCACGGTGCTGCTGTGCGAGGGGGCTGTGATGTAGCTCTCTGCCTGGGAGCTCTTGGCCTCGGTGGTCTCCTGTCCGTCCATGGGCCTGACGTATGCGGTGGGCTTCTGCTGCATGGAGCCCGGCTTGGACATGAGCGAAGGGGGGAAGGCCTGGCTCGAGTGCTGCCCGGTGGGGAACGTGTGGACCCTGGAGAGGAAATTTTAATTAGTGGATATAATATTGGTAATAATAGGGATTGTAGAGATAGACCGATATTTTGGTTGGAGGATATTTTGGCTTTTAGAGTATTACCTATCGGTTTTAAATCTCCAACAAAGGTCAGTATTTTGTTTGATCGAAAAAAAAATACACAAAAAGGTTTATTTGAGCACTAAATATGAAAAGGCAAACTGCACTAAATGTGAAACACAGCTTAAAAGTTTGAGGTAAAATTGGTTTTGGGTGAGTTTTAAGTACATAATTTGAGGAAAATAATCAAAATTTGCCCTACATATTTTCCCAACAGTATTGACAAAGTTTATCGAACATCGTTTGCTCTGGAATCTAAACGAGGAATATCAAGATCAACCATGAAAAACCATACCGGTCCATCTCTAAATAATTGTACGAAAAATACAAAATTTTACTTATAAGGTTTGTGACTGCGTGATTTGCGATTTATGTTTTAATAGCAGGATTCTATTCAAAGTTCCTAATTCAAACGCATCCAGAATTAGCAAAAACACCTCAATATATGAACTGACCGACTATAACATAATACAAGAATCACATTTCAAATATACATGTACAGATCTAAACTACATGGGTATGTTTTGTTCTTTGCAAAGTACTCATGGCTAACTGCATCCATTCTAATTGTGCTTTCGATTGCTATTAATCTTGCAGATAACAATGCGATACACAATTTCAATTTCATGCATCTTTCATTAAGTGTGGCTGCGATTCTGTCCATTAGGCCCTTCGATCATCTTCGTACACAAATTCACACAAGTTACAATGTCAAGTTTTAGTACTAAGAATATTATGAAAAAGTGAAACGCTTTTAAATCAAAATTAAGGTACTTTCTTCAAGTGACCCAAAAGTTTAGGAGCACTGTCAAGGCAAATCATTTACTAGATCTTCAGTGTGGTCAAAAGTCCTCAGAATGGTGGTGTTGCAATAACAGGTAATGTGAGTGAACATTATTGAGAGTCAAAGGCATAATTGAAGGTTGAGCTATTGTGCACATTTATCATAATTCATGGTAAAGTAGCTTCATCTATGGTCCTTAAAATGGCACCCATAACAGGAAAAAGTTATTTGACTGAAACCCATAATAAAAAAAGAGTTAAAAAGGCAAATTGAATGTCGAGCTATTATTATCATCATTATTTACTGTAAAGTCGATTCATCTCAACACCCTTACCTGGAGGGGGAGTCCCAGCTGGCCTCCCTGTCCCGTGGAGACTTGGGCCTGTAGCGGTCTTTGCTGTGATGCTGTTCTCTGGACGAGCTTAAATTCCCTTTAGCGGGACTCGACGTGTGCGTTTTCGAATGTTCAGACGCGCTGCTATGCTTACTCGACTTCTTTTCTCGCACCTCCGCGCCGTGCCTTTGGCTACTACTACTACCACTGCTACCGCTGTTACCGCCCCTTTGGCTGTTGTGCCCGCTTTGCAGTCCTGAGCGTTTTTGGGATTGGGAAGAAGTGGAAACAACTGGAGTCCATTTGCTCTGTCCGCTGACTCCCGTACCACCGCCGCGCTGATCCGATGCGTAAAGGCCCGTCCCGGACTTGTCCTCGGAGGAAGAGGAGCTGTTATTGTTGGAGGATTTGGAGAGTTTGGGAAGAGTGTCTGCGCCGATGGGTTCTTTCATCTCGTCGTAGTTTCCAAGCATGCTCTGGATACGGCTCGAGAGTTTGTCCTCTTTGCTGGACTGTGGGGACGAGAGCAAAATGGAGAAATGTTAGAACTTTGCAGAAGTATGAATAGGTTTACGGCTCTGTGTAATGACAGTGTTGGTTCTATGCAATTAATGACATATTTAAAGAGAAAGGTTAAGGTTCATGGTGTAACTTATCTGGTGGAGGGCCTGTTAAATGCTTTTCTCCATAAAGACGCTCACAGAATGGCATTTGAACCTTTATGTCCATGAGGAGATCACCCTCACAGTCAGAATGCCTGTTTTTTGAGCTATAAAACCCACCTGTAATTTATTAAACGTAAAGTAGAACTGTTTAATGTCATACCATGGAACAACATAGAAACAAGAAGGTGACGGACCCCCAACCAAAAAGTTATCAAGAGCACCATTAACTTGATTTTTATTTTTATTTTTTTATGAAGGACCCAAAAAATAAAGTTGCAGTAGTAGTTGTATATTACTTTAAAAGTGCACTTTTCTGAAGGAGGGTCTGCCATATGCTTGTTTTCATGGAGAACCTGGAATATAGTATGGGGTATAAATGTAACTAAGCAATATTCCACCTAGTGCCTCCGCTCAATTTCATTTCTCTCCAGCGACTAGATCGGAATACACTAGATGGTTTGCAAGAACCTCGGAAGTGCGAGTCCAGGCACCAGCCAATCAGAGAAGAGCCATACATTCTGTGTTGTCAATGATTCCCGAGATCAAGGATTTAAAGCCGGAACAAAGAGAATGTTTGGTGAATTTTATCAAGAGGAAAGATGTTACTGCCCTTCTTCCTACAGGATTTGGGAAAAGCTTAATATATCAGTTAGCCCCGTTAGCAGCGCATTACATATGTGACCAAATGGCAGCAGTTGGTGAAAGTACCCGCCTACTGTCGAGCAAACGAATTCTAACACTGCGAGGTCAGACAGTTTCTATGAAGTGAAACCGGTTGAGGAATCAGGCTAGGTGTTGCCTGCTTCTTTGTGGAATATTCTAGGAAAACCACAAATATTTTTACAGAGACAAAATGGTGGCTGGCCCTCCAAGAAAAAAGTTACATAGTGACACTTTAAAGTATGCTGTAAAGTACCCACAATGACAAATGAGAAAAAAAAAAGATGGTGCCATATATAGCTTGTAGTTACAATTCAAATATCAATATATTTATGCCCCATTGATTTATACAATAATAAAGACCATACTACTAACAGAACCAACATTATTATGTAAACCTTAATTACAAATCCTATACACTTAAGAATCCTTCACTCAAAAAACAATATTAAATTAGGATAGGGAAACATTTACTATTGATTTTGTAATTTAATTTTGCACAACCAATAACACAAGCCAAAAATAAAATGGCTTTCTTTCGTGGATGTCAATAACAGGCTCACAAAGGCGAAATTTTGGACTCGGTTCCTTATTGGTGGATCTCTGGACAATACAGATTATCCAAAACATTGTAGAGCCGATCCAATGAGATTTCCTGGAGCACAAATTGTGTTAAAAGCAATCCAATGCAAGTAATCATTTGGTCCACCCCTTGAGCCGCTCTCCTCCTCCCCCCGAGCCTTAATCAATCATGCTAAATTGTCCGGTTTTCAGGAGACCAGTGTGAAGCTGGTAAATGGATTGGAACTGTTCAAAGTATCTTGTTTCAGTCTTGAAGGAAACACAAACACGCCTTTTGCAGGACTCGTACTGGTCACTTCAGAGCACACCTCCGGCTCCTGTTTGTTAGGACTGGCTCTCACTCATGGAGATTCACATGTGGTTTTAAAAGGTTGGGTTACATGCAAGAATTTAAAACAATGAACATTTCTATACGGATGTGAGCTATTAGTCAAATTACAGGCGAAACCACATTTTGACTTTGACTGAAAGTGGACATTTTAGACACTTTAGGCACTGATAATCAAATATCAGTACACATTACATATTTATTTACTTTCTTTTCATTTCAGGCTCAAATTACAAAAGAGGTATAAACAGCTAGTCCTTTTTGTGTCATGTTGCATATAGTTGAAGGCCCTATATTACACAGAATGGATTCTTGTGAACTTTCAGCCATGTTGTAATGTTGTTACCTCCTCAAAACTATATCTGGTGTTGTGTTTTAATTATATTTTATGAATATATCGATATGAATGTTGATCTTCCAATAGTGCAATACAACTACGCAGTTAGTAAAGTTGCGTATTTACAAGTACACTTATATTTTCTAGACTTCTTTCCCATGCAGACGTTACTTGTTAACACTTTATAGTGACGGTAGATAACCACAAGATTTGCCTCATCGTACCACATCTGCTCCATTCAAAGAGAGGAGTGGCTCTGATGTTTAAACTGATACTTTGGGCTTTAGGGTCTGGTCTGAGGAGATATAAAGACTTCAACGCTGGCCCGTAAAAGTCCTCCTGACCTGAACATACATGTGTGAGGCAGGCCACAGCTGCAGCGAAAGAAAAACAGCCAACTTCGACTTAGTGAAGCAGAGAAAATGTCAAACTAAAGCTTATATAAGATTCAGACAGGCGTACAGAGAGACATGGAGAGAGAGAAAGAAAGGATGGTTGAGTTAGGAGGTATCAATTCACTTCAATGTCAGAGTTGAAAGATTTTGGAGACGTCTGGTAATGTAATTTGTCATGAAATCAAAAATCAGTTTACAGTGCAGTTTTCACAGCACACTGAAATATGAACTGCTAAGATTACAGAGGAAACAACAATAGAAGTCCAGATTACGCCATTTTCTGATCTGTTACACAAACCCTGCATATTTAGGCTGCGTTCTTCTCTCAGACAGAAAACATTCCCCCTTGAGATGTCATTTGTTAATACAGGAAGTGCTCCAATGTGTTTTTAAACTCCATACACTAGGGATGTAACAATAACCAAAATATCGTGATATCGTATCATCAAAGTTCTCACAATAATATCGTGGACCATCACAATATATTGAATTACAAGTCTTTGATTACATTGAGAGTTATGATGCCACAATAGCTAAAAAAAAGACAGAGGGAACTACATAGACCATGATCCTTTGCTCCATTTCAGTGTAGACTACATGAAAAAATAACAGTTCTAAGCACTAGCATAGCACTAGCATATTACTACTAAAACTAGCATATTAAAAGTTTTGTTTGCCTCCACAAAATATCACAATAAATATACCGTGAGATGTATATCGTGAAAATATCATATCAAAAGATTTGGATATTGTTACATTCCTAATCGCGAGCCTCCCCGCCATACCGTGAGCTGTCCCACGTTATTGCACCGTGAGGTTCATACCGTGACGATATCGTATTGTGAAACATATCGTATTGTTACACCTCTACCATACACCTTTTATGTAATCTTTTGGATGATTTTAGCCGTGGAATTGACAATCTCTGCTGAACTAAAGATAAAAAAGTAGTTGTTAACTTGAAAATGACCAGTATAAGACATCACAATGCAGGATTTCTTACTTAAACATGAACAAAACACAACTCCAGGAACATGTTTGATGAGATAACAGCATTATAACATGGCTTAAAGCTCACACAAGAATACATGCATAATATAGGACTTTTAAAGAGGACACTGTGTTAGCAAATGACTGCAGCCTAGAGTAGCCATTTGTTATTTAGATTACCCTTGCAACTGTAGTGTTTACACATCTTAACCTAATTTGTGTTTTGCGGATGGGTAGTTTAATAGTTCCTTTAAACAAATGTAAACACAGAGCAAAACCTGACTCACACATTGTTAATCAAAGAAAAAAAAAAGTTCAGTTAGTGGTGTGTATAACTTGAGTCTAAATTTAGGCTACCTCAGACGGACTGTTGCATCGTATTGTCAACCACAGAGCACATGACTCATGACTCGTTGAATAAAGTGGTTCTTGTAAGTGCAGCTAACAGACATGTGCATCTGACACAACAAAGAACTGTATAACTACATGGCAAGAAGCTATTATTTTTGGGTTAACAAAAGGGACTAATCTTCATATATTGTACCTACATCTGCTTAACATGTAACTCATACCTCTACAAACATGTTCTCAATAGGTATGTAACAATAACCGAAATATCGTGATATTGCATCGTCAAAAGTCTCACAATAATATCGTGGGCTGTTACAAGAGATCAAATTACAAGTTCTTTAGCTTAAATGCTTGGTTTTATAGTAGCAATAGCTAATAAACATTGGGAACTACATATCCCATGATTCATTTCAGCGCAGACAACATGAAGTTATATGTTTTTTACTTAAATTCTTGGAATTATGACAGTAATAATTCACACCAAGTTCTTGTCAGAGTATTTTAAAAGCAAAAAAGCATCCCAACTACAATTATATCAGCCTCTCCAAAATATCGTAATAAATATCATACCGTAAGATGCGCATCGTGACAATATCTTTTTTTTTTTTTTTTTTTTTTTAATAGGGACAGTGCATATTAATGAACATCTACAACATTGCAGTGTAAATATGCCAGATTATAGCAAGACTGCTAATTTCCATCTGTAGTCCCTTGGCAGGTAACACCACAAATTTAAACAAAGCAAAAACAAGTAACAAATCTATACTAAAAGTGTCCACAAGTCTGTTTTTTCTTTAGCCACTCTTTTAAGTAGGACTTGAAGGTGGCAAGAGTTGAAGTTTCTCTTATTGATGGTGGCAGACTGTTTTTGTGCTTCTGACTGAGAGCACACCATCATATCATATCAAGAGATTTGGATATCTTTACATCCCTAGTTCTGAAAGACTTAATTTGAATATTAGCTCAGTGATTAACTTTAGCAGTTCATATTTCAATCTTCTCTCAATTGTTCTTTATTTTGGACATTAAAATCTGTATAAAAGCAATAGCAGTCTCCCCTTTCCACCTAAATCTTACCAAATACACAAATACTTAAGGTTCCATAGTGGTCCATGGGCGTATACTAGTCTATGTGCTCTTATACCTGTTCTGATACAGCTCAAGATCATTTTAAAGCTATTCAGGAACACTTCATTTCTGTTCTGTTGACATGAATTTTAAAGTACTGATTAGGGATGGGCATGATTAGTCGATTAATCGATAATTGATCATTAAGAATTTCATCGATTACGTTCATTTTAATCGACAAACCGAATGTAGGTTGCTGTGCGTAGCGTGACCAAACAGGGGTCTGTACATGTAGCTCTCTGCACTCAGAAGGAGCGAGCAAACACAAACAGTCGGTCAGTCTGCAACGTACTGAAGTGCAAATGCGAACGATGTGCAATGATGATTTGTACAAGAAAGTCCACGCTTTCCGTTCGGGACAAGTGTGAGTCCATGTGTACAGTGCACAAAGCAGCACATATGTTTCGGTGTCCAGTGGGAAAAAGCTTTGCCAGGTGAGAGTCGCGCAATGTCGATGACGAGTCCCCACCTCCCTCTCCCTGTACGGTGTCCTGGTTTTGACAAACGCAAATATTGTCACACTAACCTGTATTCCACTGAGTCGTGTCTTTTAATCCAACAGAAATTGACCGCATCAGCGCACAAGAGCTGTATTTTTATCTTCGCTTAGTTTATGCAAATGACCGATGCGGTTTTAAGTTTTGTTTCTGTGAGAGTTGCGCAAAACTGAATTAAACACATTATAATCTAAAACGGATAGATGTGGCTCTAGAATCGTTATGGTTTATATGTCATAAAGTTGAATTTATTTATGCAGATTAGTAGTGCAGATAATAATAATAATGATGATAATTTTAATATAAAAATGTTAATGATTAATCGATAATCGATCGTTAATTCTTCCGACGATCGATTAAGAAAATTTCACCGATTGCCCATCCCTAGTACTGATACAGGCTCAAATGAGTATCTAGTTGTGATACTAGTTTTGAATGCCGTATCTGATTTTAGTATCTGATTTTCAACACTTTAGACAACACTATCTGCTGTTTACCGCATTGCCAAGAAGAGGCCTATTGTTTTGGATGTAATCTGTTTTTGACCTTTCACTCTGTTGTGGGCCAAACACGGGGCAGCCCTCCTCCTCCTCCAGACCTGTCAGGACGCATTCCTGGTGGCAGCTTTGATGGTGACGGGCCGCTGCAGCTAAGGAAAGAGAGCCACTTTCTGCTGCTCAAATCTGGTTAGAGGCAAAGATTACGCCAGCGCGCAGAACTGGAATCCGCTTATTACACACAAGCTGGTTGGGAAAGAGGAGAGACTGTTCGGACGGCCGGCCTACATGTGCTGGATCTATGAAGACAAAAGGAGGGGAGGAGAGAAAGAGAGGGAGAGTGAGAGGGAGAACAAGACAGAGAGAGAGAGAGAAAGCAAGAGGGGGAGAGAGAGAGGGAGAACAAGACACAGAGAGAGACAGAGAGAGAGAGAAAGCAAGAGAGGGAGAGAGAAAGAGAGAGAATAAGAGGGAGAACAACACGCACAGAGAGAGCGAGAGGGAAAAAGAGAGGGAGAACAAGACACACACACAGAGAGAGAGAGAGAGAGAGAAGAAAGCAAGAGGGAAAGAGAGAGGGAGAACAAGACAGAGAGAAATCAAGAAAGAAAGAGTGAAAGCAAGAGAGCAAAAGAGAGGGAGACAAAGAGAGAACAAGAGAAAAAGAAAGTAAGAGGGAGGACAAGATAGAGAATGACAGTAAAAGCAAGAGAGGGGGAGAGAAATAGAGAGGGAGAGAAAGCAAGGGAGGGTGAGAGAGAGAGCGCAAGAGAGGGAGAGAGAAAGAAAGCAAGAGAGCAAGAGGAAGAGGGAGAGAAAAGGAGAAAGAGACCGAACAAGAGGGATGACAAGAGAGAGAGAGCAAGTGAAAGAGAGCAAGAGTGCGAGAGAAACAGAGTAAGAGGGAGAACGAGAAAGGGAGAGAGAAAGAGAGAGGGAGAGCAAGCAAGAGAGGGTGAGAGAGAGAGCAAGAGAGGGGGAGAGACCAAGAGCAAGAGAGAGAGAAAGAAAGAGAGAAAGCAAAAGAGGATGGGAAGAGAAGAGAGAGAAAGGTCAGATCAAGGGATAGAAAGAGGGTTGTGGAAAAAAAAGAGAGGAAGAAACAGAGGGTGCGGACAGAACGAGAAAGAAAAAGACAGGAGAGAGGCGGAGAGAGAAAGCAAGAGGGAGAAAGGATGAGAAAGAGAGGGGGAGGGAGAGACGCACACAGCGGGGGGCACTTCCATTTAACTGGCCCTGAGAGGCAGATTAGGATAGCATTACTGGCACTAGGATCGTGTCCAAGGGAAAACAATATGTATCTGGCTTATCACATTTTGCCTGTGAAAATTAAAATATGGTCTCGTTAAAACACAATATCATTTGCAAGTGAGCGGAGATAAACACCATCCAGAGACCGAAAATAGCATATTTCCTTTAAACAAATGTGTGTTACAGAGCTGTTATCTCTCAACTTACTACAGAAAAACTTAAAATAGTTTACAATAAATAAAAATTCAAACATTATGAGACTTTCTGATGTAATAAGACTATTTACTGGTCATGTCTGGCCCAGAAAGTCTCATAATGTGTGAATTTGTATTTATACGAAGTTGTTCTGTAATTATTTGAGAGAGAAATAACAGCTCCATAACACACCTGAATCAGTTTTGTCTTATTTTATTTTTGTTTTAAGGAAACAAATGCTGTTTTGAGTATCAGGCATTGGCAGATACTTAAAGCTATAGTATCGGAATCGGTATCGGAACTGAATAAGCTATATCGATGTAACCCGAATTTAAATGCCCAAACCCGGAATCGATATTTAGAAGCTGATATCTGACCTGGCTAAGTTTTCACGATTTCCAATACCAGTTCGTTATTGAATATTTTAAGACCATAAAAGCAGTTTGATCTAGTAAGTACTTCAAGTTACTTCGTAATAGCAATATTGTCATTGACAGCAATCACTAACAAATCTGTGTCAATCTAAAACACTGCAGATTGTCCGTGCAGCTCTCATTTCCTGTCACAGTTATGATTCTCCAGAAGTGACTCATTTAAAGATTACTAGCATCCACTCTCTCTTGTTTATATAGTTGGCTCTTTCACATGAGACTGAAGAGATACCAGAGAAGGGGCGGGCTATATCCGGCTATATCCTTTATCCTTACGAGGAAATCAGTGGATATTATGAAACGCCATCAAATATTGTGCTTAAGGTTGAAGCATATTAAAAGTAGGACTGGGAATCGCGCGGACCCTCATGATTCGATATCATATATAGGTAACAATACGATATTATCAAGATAATAGATGGATTGCCCATGATATTTTGTAGTACGTATCATTATTTGTAAAAAACAAATACATTTTAACAACAGTATTTCTTTGATAAACCACTACATGTGCAAAGTCAATGTGGAACAAATACTCTTGGTGATACGTAGAATACAGCAGCCCACCAAATTTAGTATCCATATTTCAATATTTTAGCAGTGAATGAACTGTAAAAGAAAGTGTTGAATTATCATGTCATACCACAAATTAAAAGCTGGATTTGCAGAATTTTACATTTTTAAGACAGACAATGTAATACTGTGCTAGAAAGGTACAATACTATACAATACAATTCTATGCATTTTTGAAGTAATGCATAATACTACTTCAAATGCATTAATATTGTAAATGGTAAAATGCTGAAGCTCTCACCCCTCACCTTAAAAAACTGATCAAAAGTGACTCGTGATGTGTGTCGTGAACTGTGATGACACGTACCACTTTGTACGGCTCAGGAAAGAGAGGGGAGTTAGCTGGAAACGCCTCTCCTCCGCCCTGCTGGATTTCTTGATTTCTCCTTTCACGTTCTTTCATTCGGAGCACATTGCGGTCCTCACGGTTCATGTTGCTGAAAAAAAACAACGCAAAAATCTCAATTAGTCGATGTACTGAATTAAAAAATAAAAATAAATTGAAATTGTAAAACTTTTCAAAACATTTCTCAAGATCTTCTTTTTAAAGTAATGAATCATCCAGTGGTTGATAGTGAATGAGAGATGTTAAGGACATAGTACTGCTTATTCTACTTTATTATTTATCAGTAGTGCCTCTGAGTATTGCTTTGTTTTGCAGCAAGCAAGCAATGCACTTTCCGAACTGATATGTAGCCACTAAATTTGATCCATCTATTATTTTTTTCTTTAAAGGTTTATATTAGTTAACCGCTTATTACTAGAGTCTTTTTCTCTGCATTATAATGTTGAATAATTTGTATCTACACACTCGCAGTCAATCTATTGTCTGTAATTGACCCATTAGTGACCTTAAAGGGACAGTTTGGAATTTTGGACACAGAGCCTCATTTCCTCATTTTTCATCGCATGAATCATTGCGTGTTGAGGGACTATTTTCTCATGTATCAGTCCACTGCTGCCAAGCAACTCAGACATAAATCCTTCAAATGCAAGGTTGGTTTTACTTCTAAAATTATTCTATCAACACAGACATTCACATTGACAGTCTGGTGTTATAACAGATTTGCTCCGGGTGCTTTGTGGAGTGGGTAAGACTGTTTTTAGTGGCACGCTAACAATGGCCATTGACATGCACTAGCCTAGCACCCGCGACCTCTGCAAATACAAGAACCGGATGGAATATTTTAAAAAGTGTCTCCACACGTCTCCAACACTCTGGCTAACTAGGAAATTAGGTCCTATGTCCAAAATTCCGGACTGTCCCTTTAACAGAAAATACCATCAAAACTATTACTATTGCTTACTGACATCTGAAAATTAACAATTAGATGATCTTTAAACCACTTCTTTCACTTCCTTTGCAAATGGACATCTGAACACATTGCATTAGACAGCATACTGGAGTCCATACATCATAAACATAGGCTTTACAGGGTGACCTGTGGAGAGTCTCTTGTAATAAGCTTAGCCAGGTCTGGTCTAGACACAGCAGTGCCCTTTCGCTGCAAATAATCTGGTGCAGATGGCCAAGAGAGATCTGCTGAGACAGAAACACTCAACTCATGCACTTTTATTGTGTGTAAATCTGCCCGCTTCACTGGGAATTATTAAAAGTATTATAGTACATTGCAAGTCAGCGCTATAAAAAGGAAGAAAAGGGAATTTGGTATGCAAAATTATGGGGTCAGTACCAAAAGATCCAAATGTTTCTTTATGATTTTAACTATGTAAATGTAAAGCAGATTTACATTTTGCTTAAGGGATGTCAATTTTATTCAGTTATTTTTTTATTGTTGTAATTGTGATGATTCAGAACCAGTATAAACACATGAACTAAAAAGTAAGAATTGTGAGAGGGTTAGAAGCTAAAATACTTGACATGTTGTTTGTGTCACATTTATTTTACTTTTTTAGTCAAAGTATAATTTCATGAAGCTGGTCGCATAGTAAAGGAATGGTGATCTATGAAACTGTGTGAGAGAAAGTTAAAAAAAAAAGGATTTTACTCTTAGTTAGTCACGGTGAAAATAATAGTGACAATAACTATAAAATTGATGTTTCTTCTCATAGTAATGGTAACACAAAAATTTAAGGACATCCAGTTCAACCACCTAACAAGCAGCAACCTAACTACCTGTTTTAAAATACCTGCTTATTTTGTCAATTATTTATAGTAAAACATATTGCCATTATGGTGTTATGTCCAAAAACACTGCCTATTGTTACTGACAAATCACCATTTTAGGACTTATTGTTTTCCCTGTTAGTCAAGGAAAACAATAGACAGCCATAGTTCTTCTGCTTTATAAAAACAGTCTGCGGTGTAACTTTAAAAGCCACCTGTGACCTGTGAAGTTGCATAACATATTATCTTTGTCTTAGTAAAGCATACAATGCAACTAGGAATAATAAGGCTGCATACTTTTTTAACTACCAAAGGACTGCTGTTCATGTCAGGATTACAGAATACTCAGTATTGCATAGTAGAGTTTAAGTACTGCTTAAGATTTGTGTTTTCTTCAGATCTGTAGTCTCACAGTGGTCACATCTACTTCCTGTTTTGCTGTTGTGGCTGTGCTGACCAGATTACAAAAAGAGAACATGTAACCTCACATTATCATAGTGAAATAAGGTTGAGTACATCAAATATTTTATTCAGCAGTATAGAAAAAAATTAAATAAAACAAAAAAAGAACACATTTATTTTGGATGGTAAGGTATATTATCTGTTTTTCAAAGTGGTCTTTATTATATTTATTTTCCTGCAATTCTAGATAATAATGTAAATGTATGCCACAATTTCCTAGAGACTACATCACAATTACTATCTTCTTCCAAGAGACTCGAACCCTGACTGCAGCCAAAAGGACCAAAAGGAGGAGTGGGTGGAGAAAAGTGTCTGAACACAAAAGCACTGAATCATGATTTAGCAAACAAAGTACAACTGTCACGGTAATTCACAATTAGAATTAAATATCTGTGATCATATTGCTTGAGCCCGTACAAACCTAATCTTACATTGTACTTACTCCTAACAAAATAAACACGCTTCTTTCATGATCCTTGTTTATCAAAAGAAGTTCTAGGCGTGTCACCTTCGGCCGAGGTTTTAAACTCCTGCCAACATCCACTATGTTTGAGAACATGTTGACAGAATGCGATTAGGCAGCTCCCCGTCGACCTCCTCCTTAAATATAAACAACTAGAGACCAGCTCCGCTCTTTTTCACCCAATTAGCAGCTCACAGCTTGTCTCAAACACCAGTTCACACCATACGCA